TGTAGAGTTGAATGGGGTAAACGGGTACAAAAGTGATAATATAAGTATAATTCGAAGATCCACTAAATTTGAGGAGTTGAGGGGTGGTTGTAATTATCCAAACAAGAGGGGTGTTTTTGTAATTTGACCATACCTCAGGGGGTGTTTGTAATTTACCCTAAAAATAAAGAATTACATCAAAATATCTAATATTTAACACTTTGTTATATTTTAATGAGCGGATTGTTATAAAAAGATTGTATTATTTTTTTTAATGGCTATTTTTCGTGTTACCACCAGAGGTGGTAAACGAGGTGAGCCACTCTTGACGCGATGAGTCCTCGAAAAAACTGTCGAACTCGAATTCGAGTTCGGACTTGTTTTTAGTTATTCGTGAGCTCACGAGCCGGCTCGAGAGTCTTTTTTTTATTTAATATATTATTTTTATTTAAATTTAGTATACTAGTATAAAATATTATAGAATAATATAGAATAATATAAAAAGAACATATAAATATTAAAAATATATCATTTATTTCAAATTTGTTTTATTATATTCTAAATATTTTTTAATAATAAAATTTAATAATTAATAAAAAAATGAGCCTGAGCTCGAGCGCTCGACAAAATGAGTTCGATCTCGAGCTCGAGCCCAAAAATATAAACTCGAGTTCGGCTCCTTCACACCCCTAATTACTACTATTAGCAAAAAAAATCACTTTTGAGTCATTCTTTTGGCATACAACATGGTGAGAGTTTTAATCGCTAATACAAAGTGCAAACTGGAGAGAATTGCAGCAAAGAAACTTTAGAGAAGAATAGTGGACCCCATCTTGCCACGCCTTCCAATCCCTCCTTCCTCCTGTATCTCGGGACACCTTCTCCCATATGAAATACACACATATATATATATGATATATATAATGTATATGTAGTTATAGATATACATATACGTATATCCAATGTCTCCGACGAAGCACTCCGACGGGCCGCCGGCCGACCAGCCCCTCCTCTCCGAATCCCAATCCTCCTATTCCCAGACTCCACAATACGTCGTCGTTCTGCCTGCCTACCTGCCCCCATATCGCCAGCGTCTCCTCCGCAAATTACACCGGCGGCGTCTAATCTGCTTCTCCGCCGTCTTCCTCTTCCTCATATCCGCCGTGTACCTCGTCTGGCCGTCCGATCCGGAGCTCTCAGTTGTCCGGATGAGCCTCAATCGCCTCCACTTCCACACTCGCCCCAAAATCTCACTCGACGTAACCCTAGACCTGAGGCTTAAGGTTCGGAACAGAGACGTTTACTCCATGGACTACGACTCCTTGCTCGTCGCCGTCGGGTACAGGGGGGAGAGCCTGGGGAACATCACGTCGGAGGGCGGACACATCAGGGCGCGTGGCTCGTCGTACGTGAACGCCACGCTCGACGTCGACGGCGTGGAGATGCTGAGCGACGTGATTCTGCTGCTCGAGGATTTGGCTGCTGGTTCGATTACGTTCGACACTGTGTCGGAGATTGGTGGGAAGCTTGGCCTGTTCTTCTTTGAGTTGCCGCTTAAGGTAATTCGTCTCTCTCTCTTACATTGTTAAAAAAAACCTCTCGAATTAGGGCAGAAATTGGGGTAGAAGCACTTCTGTGATGTAATTAGTTGCAGTAAATTTCAATGAGAGTTTGATTTTGAATTTGAGTGTGTGTCAATAGGGAAACTTCCCCCATTGTTTCTAACCTAGATTTAGTGAGTAAGAACAACATCTTGAAATTCTGGAGGGATGCAATACATGTATGTCGAATTCCGAATCTCTGATCTGTTGATGTTGTTTTATCTGCCTAGGGCTGAAAACGGAACCACTAAAAATTTAACTAAACTAATCGTTATTGAATTCGTGGGTGTTCGATAAATGCTCGCTTGTGTTAACACATTTTTGTTCGATAGTTGTGAAGTTCGGCTCAACTCTATTGCATATTTAATCAATCTCGTACACCACTTTGAAAGCACGATTCTAATTAAGCATATAGTTCAAGTGTATTCGATTAGTCAAATTGATTTCTTTGAAATTTTGCAACTAATGAAACTCAATTTGTATGAATGTAAGGACTTAGATAAATGTCTAGGCCCTTCTCCTTTCTTTTCTCTTGTCTTAAGAATAGTGCAGCTTCCGCAGTTGTTCTTTATCGAGTTTTGAAGAAAAAAGGAAATTTGCTCGTCTGCAAATATAAGTCTTTACTTAAGAATAGTGCAGCTTCCGCAGTTTTTCTCTATTGAGGTTTGAAAAAAATAGGAGATTTGCTTGATCTCTCGATTCTGTTGAAAGGGTAGAGCCGGTGTTCTTACAGTTGCATAACCATGTTTAAGGAAGCATTTATAGTCGAACCTACTTGAATGGTGGAAACATTTAAGTTAAGCAGTAGAACATTGTAGCGAAATTAGTATGTAACATGAACAGCTCAAATGCCCAAACTACAAGGTGCAATGATGAATGTTACCTACTCTTGAACTTATTCTCGACGACGACTTTGCATTTGTATTTTCTCATTAGATTCTGATTGTTTGAAATGAAAACTTGGAAAATTGATATGTACATCTAGTTCAAATTCATATAACATATAACCACCCCTTTTATTATCTGTTACAGGCCAAAATATCATGCGAAGTAATCGTAAACACGCGAAACTCGACAATTACTCGTCAAAATTGCTACCCTGAGGTAAGCTTTTATTTCCTCGCATTTCCAATTTACCATCCTTGCACACCCTAAGTACCAAAGACAGTGAAGCAATTGAAGAATAGATATGATAAACTATTTCTTCGCAGTTGAGATAAAATCATTGGTGAGTAATTTTGAGTTACATAGAATAATTGAAATTAAATGATCATTTTTTTCTTATTTGCAGATTTAAACCCCTACATAATTTCTATCCTCAACAATGACAAAGATGTTGGATACTGATTACTGAATGCAAGTAAAAATGGAGTAAAATGCTATCAGCCCTGCAGTTTACTAAGCTTTTAGGTGTGTGCAGTATGAGGTACAAATGCAGTTTGTTCATAACTTCTAGGCAATCAGTAAAACAGCAAGAAACCTTGTTAAAAGTTTTTTAAAAAGAAAAAAAAAGGTTTCAAACATGTCTTTCTGTAATTCTATGGTATATATATTATATATATGTGTGTGTGTGTTTATGTGTGTGTAATTGTATGACATATTATGCAGTAATCTCTCTTGTAATTGGGAAACAAATTAGATAAACAGATTAATTGCTTGACAATTTAATAATAACCTTCAAATTCTTCCTTAATTTCTTGATATGTACAAGAAGATGATATTAGTATTAAGGAAATTTACACATGCTTAGATAGACTAACTGGGCTTAGTTCCAAGCCGGTTAACCCACTGATATTCTCCATGGTGGTGCCTGCACCGGAAAGAACCCGGGTGCCCGGTCGGCGAACACACACATACCTTTGTCATCCCCCCACCACCACCACCACCACCACCTGTGTTAGCCTCTTGCCGCCCTCTTACCGCCACTTCTGTGTCGGCCTCCGCCGCCGGGGCGATCAGCTGTCTCCGGCGAGTGGCACACTTGTAGCCACCTTCCCAATAGGCAACCTGGGGGTAACACATCTCTAGTTTTTTTTTTTTTTTGGTAGTTTTAGTTTGAGGAATAAAGAATCATGGGATTATATAGGAAGAAAAAGCAATGGAAAAGGAGGGAGGAGAAGAAAAGGAAGAAGGTATAACTGAAAGGTAAGGGATGGATATATTATTATGAATTATTGTTTTCTTTATGCTAAAGAAAGTTTGGGGATTGATTCGCAATAAGGGATAAAATTTGGCCTCAGCTTTTTTTTTTTTTTTTTTTTTCATGCAAATGCTTATCCATGGTATTAATTGCTAAAATTTATGAGGTGTGGGATATTGGGGGGGATTGAAGGTGACGCGCCAGTTGATGGCTGCAACCACTTGTCGATTGGGGGAGCTGTGGATGTGTGTTTTTCCATAAAAGTTTTTTTTTTTCTTGATTTTGTGTGTTTCTTAGATATGAAGTTAGATAAGATATGAAGTTAAATATCTGACAAAAAAATTGGATGAAAATCTAAATAATTAAATCCTAAAAGTAAATAAAGAGAATTCCCTTGAAACCAATTTTCCTCAGACGCAAGTACAACTTTAATTTTAGTTTCATTTACTGGGTAATTTGCTAAATACCCATCAAGTCTAATTTCATTTCATATTAGGACAATTATATTTTTTTTTATTTTGCTAAAAGTCAACCAGACAGACAATTATATTTTTCCAATTTCCGTTATTCTCCTCTACCATGTTTATGCTCGAAACCAGATCTGACTTCAAAAAATGGAGTTAATTTTCACTAACCACGAATTAGTCTCCGTTATTCTCCTCTACCTTTCCTTATTAGTCTCTTATCGTCGGCCGTTAATTTTCACTAACCACGTCACTGAAAAATGTTATTTTCATCGATTTTAGAATTCTTATTCTTCCTTATCAGTTTAAGATGTCTATTTTCAGTCAAAAATTTCAATTAATGTGTCAATTTTACTTTAGGTTGTCTATTTTCAGTTTGTATTATCTATTTCCGATCTAGTTGTCCAACTAAGCTGCACGATGGACTTTTAGCAAGCAAATTCAATATATCCAAGTGGAATGATAACTAAGCAAAATATTTTTGAAAGAATTTAAAATAGTAACAAAATTAAGGGGTATCTCTAAATTTTCTCGATAATTAATAGCAATTTGTAGTGCTCTATAATCAAATGGACCCATTAGGTCTAAATATAGGTTCCGGGCCATCATCTTGAAAATGGGCCAGTTGATACATATTTTTTAACGGCCCATTTTTAAGTTCAACTTTTGTAATTCTTGTGTGTGTGTGTGTGTGTGTGAGAGAGAGAGAGAGAGAGAGAGAGAGCAAAATCTATATTGACTAGAAAAAAGGAATTAAATTTGGAAATGGGTAAAGAAAGAAGATAAGGAAGGGGGGAAGGGAGAAAAAGTAAAAGCAAAAAAGCAAAGAGAGAAAACAGTTAAAAAGAATATAAATATGTTTTTGTTACTGTACGTCAGTGAGCACTAGGGAAGGAGTCTACGCAGCAAAAGCGTCCCATTTGGTTTTCAATTTTCATTGAGAACTCCGCCTATTGCTTTGCTCATTTTATTTTTCAACTTTTTTTTTTGGATAATCTAAAAAAAAAAACTTTAATTTATGTTACCAATTTGACAAAACTACCTCGAGTCCATCTCTATTTAAAGTGACGACAATGTAGTATTTTTGTTTGGATTAGAGTCTATTGTGTTGTCTTTTTACCGAAATACCCTCTTAATTTTGATATTTCAAATCCATTTACATTCGCAGAAGCTATCGTAGAAGAATTTGTGAATTTTAATTAAAATATACGTGTTTTTACTTTTAATTAGGTCACATAGTGGTGGGATTCTTATGAAATTTTTTCTAAATTTATTATACATTAAAGATGCATATATCAATCACTGTTGAAAATATATATCGATAAAACTGTAGCTTGAATATGTGCGACGAAAGATAAAATATAAAAGAAGATTAAAACAAGAAGTCGGAATTGAGAGATTAGAGATCACACACGCCAACTCAAAGATCTAGTAATAAAACACAAGACTGTATGAGTTTAATGCACTGACTGCAAAGATATAAATTCACATTTTTTTTACCAATAATTAATTTCGGAATGATTGGTAAAACCCGAGGTGTTACAAACCCTACTACTTCAATATAAAAAAAAATCAAGTATTAAAATACTCAAATGAAGCACACTATGATGGCACTCACAATCAAGATCATATCATAAAACTTTAATGAAATAGATCAACCCACATGCAATATACCCTAGTGGACCATGCCTTGCACATAACTAAATATATAGCATATTTGACTATATTCACTATTAAGGGTGAGACATACAAAAAGTGCACATCTTTATCTCTCTATATATACATATACATATGCCAAGCCAAGCCTTATAATCACTTCTTTCTAAGAAAAAAAAACACTTCAAAACATACACTCTGCAAAATATATTGATCATTTTATTGAAGTAGCAATGGGTCATGAAACATGGAAGAATGGTGAATTGTGCTGCTATTCGGGTCGAAAAAACGATAGTTTCGGGCCGTATAGTAGAGCTTCGACGAGATCAAAAGCTCCCATTTGGATAGTTTTATGGAGGAGGATCAAGAAAGGGAAGAAACGATCGTCGATTATGTCGCAATATTGTTCGAGTTCAACTAGGTTTACTTATGATCCGTACACTTATTCGCAGAATTTTGATCAAGGGTTGATGTGGGCCGATTCGGACGATCTCAACCGTTCATTTTCTGCTCGATTTGCTGTCCCATCGAGGATCTTTGAGAAGAATACTTGCTTGATGGTTTGATCCCAAAAAAAATGTGTTTTATTTACAGTTTAGGGATTTTTATATTAGTGATTAGATTAGTTAATTTGTATTAAGAGATTAATTAGTTGTGGTTTTGTGATAATAATTCTTGTTCTTTCTACATTTTCTTTTTACCTTCATTTACAAGTAAAGTTGGATGCTTTCATATGCTTATTTTTCTTCATTTGGAGATAATTAATTTAATTTCGGAAATTCATTATTTTACTTTTTTTTTTAATTATTGCAATAAAAAGTTAATGACGCAAGAATTATATATTGCATAAATTGCTAATATTTGCAGTTAAAATAGTAGTTATGTTCTTTTTCACTAATATCAATTAAAAATTGTTTAGGCATCAGTTGCCCCTCTCTTAGGTGTAACATGGCTAATTATTCTTTTTTTAGAGTATTAAAATGAGTGTTTATATTTTAATGCAGGGGCATGAATTGTGCTGCTATGTTTGACATTATGTCAAAAATATTTCAAAATTCCCATTTGTCCTCAAAAACATCACGAGAAAATTGATAAATCTTCTACCTAGTTTTTTTTTTATTAACTAAAATGTTAGATATGCTTTCAATTTAACTAATATTGTTTTGATTTCAATGTGATTTGGGTCATTTTCTATTCTGATTTTGGCAACATTCAATTACATAAATTGTAGTCTTTTGAATTAGCTTTCTAATCAAGTTCGGATCAACTGGATTGAATGTGGGGTAACAAAGTTATCCGTGAATGGGTTGCATTTTAGATTTTAGATAACTGAAAACATCAAAATTATGGGTAATATTCATTTTTATGCATATCTTTCTCACCTGACATTCAATCTTGGTGATTCAAGTTGGAATATACAGCTAACTTAAACAACTACAATATTTGTATTTTGAGTTTTGACAAATTCAGCCTCGAAAATAATCAAAATTATGTTTGAAGTGTAAACAATAATAAAAACTGAAACGACATTTATCCCATCTCATTTATTAATAGGGTAAATTACAAACACCCCCCTAAGGTATGACCAAATTACAAAAACACCCCTCTTGTTTGGATAATTACAACCACCCCCTTAACTCATCAAATTTAGTGGAATCTTCGAGATTATATGGAATATTATCACTTTTGTACCCGTTTTATGCCATTCAAACTCTACATTATGAAGCAAGATGACCATAATATGTGATTTTTAGCTTGTATATATCAGTTTGCGGTGCATCGGAAACTGTATTTTTTACACAAAGAGTACAAACTAGAGCACATTTCACGGAATCTAGATGACTATGTTGAATTTGGCACCATAAAGGTAAGAAAAAATCATAGTTGAGGGGGGTAGATGTAATTATCCAAACAAGAGGGGTTTTTTTGTAATTTGACCATACCTCAGGGGGTGTTTGTAATTTACCCTTATTAATATAACATCGATAACATTATAATATGAAAAATAAACAAAACTCTAAATCGATAATATGTGAAAAGTGGATCGCAACACAATTTTGAATTTTCTTAATCTTTTTATTGGTCAAACATTTTATGTGCCCTTTTTCCTTTTATCCATGTCATTCTTTTTATGGATGTCAAATTGGTTTTAGCCTTTTGAACAATTCCTTTCTTAATTTATATGATAAATTACTGCCAACCCTGAAGCAGATTTAAATAACGAAAAAATTCATTTCGTTTGGATAATTATGACCTCCTTCTTTAATTATGTATTATCTTACGAAAAATCTCCTCCTTTAATAGATAAATTTGGATCTGTAAAATGAACATATAAGACAATATATAGTTAAAGGGAATTGTAATAACCTCAATGGATTACCGTAATTTGTCCTAATTTTTAAGACGTAATAAAGAATCATTACTTTGTGTGTAGTAGTAGATTAATGGCCCTAATCTCTATTCTTATCCCTTCACTCTAAAGTTTAGTATACTTAATTAAGATTAGTGAACTTTTCCACATAGACAAAGCAAACAATTAGTCCACCCCGGTTTTATCTATCCTACACCCGGTGAAGGTTACACCGGGTGATTTTTCACCGTTGATCTACACACACCAATGTGGGTGTGTGTGTGTTTGTGTGTATATTAATGGTAAAGATCTACCCGGTGTATTTCACCCGGTGTAGGATCTCAAAAGCCGTCCACCCCGCCGAAAATGAAGATATCGTAAGAAAACCACAATCCCAATGACGCTCAAAATTGACCGTTTTCATAAAGTTATAAACATAAACAATGTTTCAAATTGCAAGACTCTAAACAAACTGGTCGGATCGAAATCAGCACTTTAAAAAAATTAAAAAATCTAAATTTCGGAAATGAAAATCTAAAAGCATATTCCATGTTCGAAAATTTTCAAATTAGAATCCGCAAAATTTGAATTTCATTTATATTTTATTGACCTTTAAGTATATAATACATAATAATAATATTGATATTATAAATGCAAGTTGAAAATTTATCAAAATTTTCGAAAATTAAAATCGGATGGAAAACTGGAATCTCATATATATTCCAATTCCGTACCAAAAGAATTCGGAAAATTCGGATTTTTCATATCATAAATTACGTTCCAATTTTCATTTGTTCCATCAGCTACAAAAAAATCACAAATGGATTTTATCTCTATTTCCAAACCAATATATGAAAAGATACATTAATTTTTTTTATCTAAGTATTCAACATCTTTATCAGAATCGATCACCGAAAAAACCGAAATATGTAACTGACAGTATCACAGTAATTTGCATTGTTTTTTACCTAGATAAAACTATCTCGATACTAGTCAAAATCTAACACCTAAAACTAGACAAGGGAGGTTATTAAATCGTGTATCAACTTTCACATTTACGTTTTCTTCTGAATCAACTGATTCGTAGTTGGTCCCCATTGCTTATTTCTGATCTCCGGTAGCGCACCGTAAATAACTTCTCACGGTCTATGCCTGAACAACATACGCATATCAAAAAAACCATTGCATAAAACCATTATCTACCGAAAAATCTTGCAACGAAATAAAATGAAATAAATAAAATTACTTACATAAGAGAAAGGCCGCAAACAACAATCACCAAGTAAAAACTGCAGTCTATGAAGATAGCACGAATCGTCTGGTGCAACACTAATCCCAATTCCAACAGCTTAAAAGCTCCGCCCCAATTATCTCCATCTTCCTCGATTCTTGGATTTTTATCTTCTTTCTTTATTTGTGCAAAAGGGGCCAATCTTCTAGCCACTATGAATAAATCAGTTAGCAGAACTACGAGAAGGGGCCTGTAAACGATAAGGCTCTTCCGCTTTGCCACGTTTTGGGGAAGATTAATATGAGATAAAACTACCAGAAATGCTAAAACGATAGCACATATAACACGTGTGTCTTCCGAGGAAATTATGGTGAAATTTATTTCGTTGAGTGTTATTGAACTGAGAAAATATCCCAATGATTTTTGGGGTGAATTTGGATTTACTGTTGAGGGGGGCGATCGTTTTTCTTCCATTTTCTGCAGGTAAGAAACACTGCTTCCTGGATTATATACTTCAGAAATTTCCTCCTCGTTATGATTTCTCGTTACTGTATCGGCCACTTCATCTCCACCTTCAAAAACCAATTACTAAATGAACTTGCATCAATCATCATTGAGAAAAATGCAAGAAAACAATTACATGCAAAAGAAAAATCCGACGAAAAAGCTATAGAAGTCGTAAATAGCCAGTCTCGATTAGCAGATGAGAAACGCTAGCACTCGTAAGCCGTAAATAAAGAGATGATGCTAATAAATATCGATAGTAGCGAAAAAAGAAAGAAATTGCTATTCGATTAGCTGTGAACTGAAATCGAAACAAACGAATAACCACTACACTAGCCCAATTTCAAGTACACATTCGTTGCACCAAATCTCTGGCATTAGGGTTCATAATTACAGAGTCCAGCCATTTTTTTCAATCCTAATTCGAAATTTCGAATCATCGAACACTCAATTGAACTAACTTCAATTTACCCTTTCGATAAGGATAAAACGATCTCTGAATTCGATTCACACGCTGAAATTGTCGCATACTATTGAATACCAACTTCATTTTTTTTTTTTTTTACCAAACATGCACAATTTTTGCCCATGCATTTATACATAAAAATTATTCAATACACATTCTGAATTCAACAATTTCGGCATCAAATACGACGCTTTTGAACAAAAAAAAAATGGATATGAAATACCGTTAGAATGATCGACTTGGAAGAGGGCTTCGCCGGGTTCGGATGAGGAGCGGGCGTGCTGGGCGGGTGGGTTATCGCGGCGAGGGGTGGTAAATGAAGAGGATTTGGAAAACGGATCCGGGTCGAGGCTCTGGATCCGGCCCGTTATCAGAGCCATGCGATCCGTTCCTCGAGAGATTATCTTCCTCCTCCTTTGTTCTTTCTCCATTTCTGACTGATTTTTTGTGTGTGTCTGTGTGTACGGATCTGTTTGTTTGTGCCTTTTGTTTAGATTTTAGCGTGCGCATATCATTTTGTGTTTTATTCGAAATATAATATATAGTTATATACATACGCTTCTTTTAAAAAAAATTAATTATTAACTAATAATAGACAAATTCTACTTTTCCGGCTTCTACTTTAGTTTGGTGTCACTTTACTCCCTGATTCTCGATTGCATCGATTTATCCCCTGCATTTGAAAATTTGACTCAATGTGACCCTCGTTGTTAGTTGCCAAACATTTGACATTAACACTGTTTGGTCTAAACTCTGAAATTATAAAAACATCACCCCTCCCAATTTAAATAATTATTAAAAAAAATAAAATAAAATAATACAAGTTAACGAGAAAAGCATAGTCCACGACGTCAACCACGATTTTTTTTTCTTTATAATTATTTAAAATAGGAGGAGTGGTTTTTTTGTAATTTTCACATCTTAGACCAAACGGTGATAAGATCAAAAGTCTGAAAACTAACATCGAAGGCCACATTGAGACAATTATTCAAGTGCAATGGGCGAATCGATGCAATCAAGAGTAAAAGGGGTAAAGTGATATCAGGACAAAGTACAAGCAAAAATTAGAAATTACCTCTAATAATATCCTAATTACAATTTGCACGGTAAGTATGTGCCTGGCCCGGCCCAATCAATATTACTAATATTATGCAACACAAAACCAATGATATTAACCAATTATATTAGAATAGGTTATGGTGAATATTGGAACTTATATTTCGATTTCCGCCGATTTTGGTTCGAAATACTTTATTTCAAAATCCTATAAAATTTCAATTTCCAATCCCCCGATTCTTTTTGGATCGTAATTGCAATAAAAAGAGATTTTATTTTTTGATTACAAAATTTTGGATTTTTCTAAAATTGTACTTATAAATATCAATGTTATTACGTATTTTATGTTATGATGAATACAAATATTTTTTTTTGAATTATAGCAACTTCGATATGAAAATTTTGATTTATGGTTTCCAATTTTTCTGTTCTTCTAATGAAATTGAATTTTTTTCTTTTCGAAAATGCTAATTTAATATGATCCGTTCTTTTTCCTCACATAGAATAAGTCTACAATTTTCTTATTCAATCTTGTTATACACATTGTTTTGTCAAAAATACATTTTCCAATGTACAATAAAATTTAATTTATGTTACATGTATTTTATTAAATATCCTTAGTGTTAATGATAATGATATGCGGTGATATATCACGTAATAAACTTGTACAATTAGTATCTTTAATTTCAAGTTGGGTGGCTCGAGATTCCTTCGAGCTAAAGAGTATTTAGGAAAAACGAAGTATCACTCACTGTACACGAGCTCGACGTTGACCAAACAAAAAATGCATGCTCGACTAACCTACAATACAATAAAAGCTAAGTGATACGTTAGATTTGCCGCCAATAAGTAAGTACCCTTCAACTATCAAATCATATATCGCTTGTTGATAGAAACATTTATAATAAGAGAAATGGCAATTGTTATTTATTTAAAATAATTAAGATTGTTTTCCTGATTATCTTATAAAAATCCTCTAACTCAAGAGTAATGAGAAAGAAAATCCATAATAATGTTATAATAATAGTAATCCACCATGATTATCAATACCAAATCAAACTCTACATTCAAAAATTGATTTTTGGTAAAAGGGTTAATAATAATAATCTTAATAATAAATAATTAAATAAATCAAAATACAAGAAAGAAGCAATATACCCATTAATTAATTAATTAATCTGTAATTTTATCTATTTCTTTTCCAGCATAAATAGCACAGTCGGAGTCGTAGAGCAATTATACATTCAGAATACCTATTAATTAATTAATTAATTACAAAAAAAATTGGAAATGTCGAAGAAACTCAATCTCAACATTTCAGAAATTCAATCTCCATTCCCTAGTTACAGGAGCAGCCAAACGCCTACCGCCGCCGGAAAGGAGAAGGTTAACGGCGGAGATCAATCTTCTTTCGAAAATTTCAGGTCATTCTACCGAACGCAGAGCGTAGATCGAACGGCGAAGAAAAATGTCCGAACGACGTCGTTGCTGCTCGAATCGCCTCGGCTTCTGCCCCCCCCGCCGCCGGAGAACCTCCGCGGCTCTGCTAGGTTTTTCGTCGCCACAGGATCGTCGAGATCGTTGATCGTGGATGAAGCGCCGCCCTATTCCTCTGCTAGAGGCGGCGGATCTTCGACGGCGGCGAAGGAAGCCGATGAGATCGGGAAGAGCGATTCGGCGGCGGCGGAGGACGACGACGGCGACGATCTCATCGCGATCCTGACGTATTCGCCGAATCCGTACGAGGATTTCCGGCGATCGATGCAGGAGATGGTGGAGGCGCGACTGGAGCACGGCGGAGAAGTGGACTGGGAGTTCATGGACGAGCTTTTGTTCCGTTACTTGGAAATTAACAACGAGAAGTTTTGCAGGCATATACTCCGCGCTTTTGTGGATTTGGCCGTCGTTTTGCGTGAGAATTCCGCGATGATTCCGGCGCGGCGCCGCCCGTGGGGCGGCGGTGGTGGTAGAAGACTGCTGAAAGGCAAAAGGGGAGATTAATTAGTTTTTTAATTGTCGTTGCCGGTTGGATTAACTTTCTGATTAGACCAGAAAACATGATTAATCATCTTTAATTTACAAATCCATTATAAATGTTTGGTTAACTTAAATCATTTTAATGCATTATTGTCATAAAACTATTATAAAAATAAAAATTGAATCACTCATTTTTATTTTTTATTAAAAATGTTAATTATCCTTAGTTTTTTTCGACATTTTATTATCGATAAATAGGTATTTTTTCTAATATTTTTTGGGAACGGTAATTATTGTTTCGTAAATGCAAATTTTGCGTGGTTATTCGAATTATATACTTTATATATATATATGGATTATTTACGTAGAAGTTCGATATTTCGCATCATGTCTTGGATGTTCAAAATTCATGATAGGATGTTTGCCCGTTGTAAGCATCCTATGTATACTATGTGATTTTTAACTGATGCCTACTCTATTAACACGTGTAGATCTCACTTTTATTTTTCTCACCCGTTAACTATGTTTAACATATTAAAATACAATATACTTCATCGAGCACAACATCACGTAATCTAAGTAACGAATATATATGTGAATTGTGCGGCTTCATTTATGAGACTAAAATACATTGGACAAACACAAACTACATGTAACTTAGTCATGCGAGTTTCTATACTTCTACAAATACAATTTTTCGCGCTACTCGATTATTCATCTCTGACTGTGCTGAAAAACAACAAAGAAGTTCGCAACCGTATATCATAATTACTGAAGTAAAAAAGAGCGCAACATTTTCCAGATCGTTCCTTTTACTAGTAACTTTTAAATCAAGTTCATCATCCACACACACACACACACACACATACATATATATACTATATATATATAACTACTCGATTCTTAATTGGTCAACGAAAAAAAAGATAATGAAATAATAACATCACAAAAACATGGAATGGGCCGATGAAAAGCCCAAACAAAAAGCCCACCACAAAAAGAAAAATGAGGGCGAAGAAGTTTCTAGAAGCAATGCGGTCGTAGCTCTCTCTCATACACACACATCTTTTCTCCAATTCTATAAACCCTTTTCTCGCTCTTATATTTGCATCCAATAATATTCAAGAGTTTTTTCGGCTGCTCCGCATTTATTCATTCTCTGCATTTCTCTCTCTTCCCTCTCACATACACGACAACCACCGCATTCGGGAGTCGAAGTTCCAGAGAATCATTTCAAGCGGCGCGATTGATCTATCCTCAGGTACTGTTCTTCTTCAATCTCTTAACTTTTTAATTTTTTCCTTTTTACCATTTTCAGATCCAATCGGTTGTTATTTTTTGTTTATTATATGATTTTACATTGTCCTACATCACTGTTTGTCCAGTATTGTGCTTAATCGGATGTGTTCGTAGTGGTTTATTTATTTGTTTGATTAAACTTGTTTTAGTTTTTAGTTTGTCCGATTTTTATTTTTTTTAAATTGAACAAGGTCGTTGCTGTTAGATGTTGGTTGATTATGTAATAAAGTGATTTTAATTTTAATGTGTTCTGAATGAATAAAATGGGTACAATTTTTGTGGCTGTGAGGACGCGAAGATCCAATTGTTGTACTCATTGCAGTGAATTAATCTGAATTAATCCATTAATGTGTATAAATGCGACTTGGATAAAATTACTCCTTTATGATTTATGTCTTCATAGATGAAGTATGGCTGGTTTTCTGTTGATTTGTAGTTTGCTCTTGTTAATTTAATGGTGTTGATGGATTAAGTTATTTATTTCCTCAGGTTTGTAGCTGATTCTTTGCAGTCAAGTAATCGTTAAGCAAATATGAGTGTGGTTGGTTTTGATTTCGGGAATGAAAGCGGCGTTGTTGCTGTTGCAAGGCAAAGAGGTATTGATGTCGTGCTTAATGATGAGTCGAACCGGCTAACTCCGGCTATTGTATGCTTCGGAGATAAGCAACGATTCCTTGGTACAGCTGGAGCTGCATCGAGTATGATGAATCCGAAAAATACAATATCTCAAATAAAGAGGTTGATTGGGCGCCAGTTTTCCGATCCTGAGCTGCAGCATGACATCAAGTCATTGCCCTTCTCGGTGACTGAAGGGCCTGATGGATATCCATTGATACATGCTCATTATTTGGGAGAAAGTAGGACATTCACACCTACTCAGGTTTTGGGTATGGTGTTTTCCGATTTGAAGATCATCGCCGAAAAGAATCTGAATGCAGCAGTTGTAGATTGTTGTATTGGAATACCCGTTTATTTCACCGATCTTCAGAGGAGAGCTGTTATAGATGCTGCAACTATTGCTGGCTTACACCCTCTTCGTCTTATTCATGAAACTACTGCCACTGCTCTAGCTTATGGTATTTACAAGACTGACCTACCTGAAAACGAGCCGTTGAACATTGCTTTTGTTGATGTGGGGCATGCTAGTATGCAAGTTTGTATAGCTGCTTTCAAGAAAGGCCAGCTGAAGATTTTGGCTCATTCCTTTGACCGGTCGCTCGGTGGTAGAGATTTTGACGAAGCTCTTTTCCAGCACTTTGCTGCACAATTCAAGGAAGAATACAAGATTGATGTATATCAGAATGCCAAGGCTTGCCTAAGGCTTCGTGCTGGTTGTGAGAAGTTGAAGAAGGTTCTCAGTGCAAATCCTGTGGCGCCTCTGAATATTGAGTGCTTGATGGATGAGAAGGATGTGAGAGCCCACATTAAGAGAGAAGAGTTTGAGGAAATTAGCATTCCGATCTTGGAACGTGTGAAAAAACCATTGGAGAAGGCCCTTGTTGAAGCTGGACTGACTATTGAGAATATACATTCAGTTGAGGTTGTGGGTTCTGGTTCGCGTGTACCTGCAATTATTAGGATCCTTACTGAGTTCTTTGGGAAGGAGCCTAGGCGTACAATGAATGCAAGTGAATGTGTTGCCAAAGGCACTGCTTTGGAATGTGCTATTCTTAGTCCCACATTTAAAGTGCGAGAATTCCAGGTAAATCATTCGTAGTCATAAGCTGTTCTACATTGTTCTTGGATGTTTATTCGTTTTCACCTCGTTACTGGATTGAGATTTGTTTGCTCTTTTTTCTTACAGGTTAATGAAAGCTTTCCTTTCCCCATTGCTTTGTCGTGGAAAGTTTCTGCTTCGGATTCTCAAAATGCTGCAGCGGATAATCAGCAGAGCACTGTTGTATTCCCAAAGGGCAACCCAATACCAAGTGTGAAGGCGTTGACTTTCTATAGATCTGGCACCTTCACATTGGATGTGCAGTACGCTGATGTTAGTGAGTTGCAGGCACCTGCAAAGATTAGCACTTACACGGTAGTTTTCTTATGCAACATTCGTTATTTCAGTAATTAGCAATCATTTACAGTGAAGTTGGTGTGATTCGTATTTCATTATGTTGAATGCAGATTGGACCTTTCCAGTCGGCAAAGGGTGAGAGGGCAAAATTGAAAGTCAAAGTACGCCTGAATCTTCATGGTATTGTCTCGGTTGAATCAGCAACGGTGAGCTCCGATGATTAATGGCATTAGTCTTAATGTTTTACAAGTCATTAATTTAATAAATAATGTTCTTACTAGATGGAAACACTGTAGTTTAAGTATAAAAAGCAACAGAGAATTATCATTGGAGCTTTAACTGACATCTCATTCCTGTTTTATGTTTTGTAAAATGAGATGTTCACTGAAAAGGTATTTTTTTTTTTACATAGTAGTGAATAGTGATTAGTATTGTGAATATTATATTTCATTCCCATGAAATCTTCAATTGCTATTTATATACGCCTTGCTTAATCTGGTGATGAATATGTTATTTCCTTGTTTTTTCATAATAATTTGTATGTTATCTTGCCGGATTTGGTTTTATTTTCGGCAGTATTAGATCTTGTGCTTGCTTAGAAGTTAGAACCCCTTCACCATTTTTGTAATCAATGTAGTAGATATAACGCATTCTTCCCCAAAACGAGTTAGTAACTAAACCTACAAGTATTGGAGGGAAGAAAATGGAGTTTTTCGATATATTTATTTAAAGTATGACTTAGTAACCGGTCTAAGAACTATTAGCTTTGTGGTACTTGAGAAATTACTAAATTAGCCTTTTGAATTTAATGATCAAGATTTTGTTGGTTTTAATTAATGGGGTGTATTTTCAAGCAGCTTTTGGAAGAGGAGGAAACGGAAGTTCCAGTTGTGAAAGGATCTTCACAGGAATCGACAAAGATGGAAACTGACGAGCTTGCTGCTGATTCGGCTCCGCCAAGCACCACTGAAACTGAAGATGCTGGAGCTGAAAATGGTGTAGAAGAGTCTGGAGATAAATCGGTTCAGATGGAAACAGATGCCAAGGTAAACATAGGAATGAACTTCTCTTGTTTGTATGAATGATGGCAGTTCCCAAGCTTCTATAATTTGTCGAAATTAGCTTGCCCAAATATTGATACTTGAAGTTCTATTTACACTTCTTTCGCTATGTATGTCTCTGTTTTTTCAAATAGCCGATCATCTTTTATATTTCCCTCTCTCTATGCCCTTTTGTTCCACACATGTTCTTTTTCATGTGAAATTGACAAGTACGAACAATAAATTGTTGCTCTCCCATCAGAGCTATATATTAATTGTCAGATTGACATTTAACTACTTGCAGCACAAGTAAAAATTTCTCAATGTTTACTTGAACTATCGTTTCTTTTCTTTGGTGTTCTGATGATCAGGTGGATGCTCCAAAGAAAAAGGTGAAGAAAACCAATGTGCCTGTGTCAGAGGTCATCTATGGAGGACTTGCTGCTGTGGATGTGCAAAAAGCTGTTGAAAAGGAATTCGAGATGGCTTTACAGGATCGTGTTATGGAAGAAACCAAAGACAAAAAGAACGCTGTTGAGGCATATGTTTACGAAATGAGGAACAAGGTAAAACTAGAATTCTGTTATTTTTTTTTGATCCAGCTTAATTATTTTCACTCACTCGTCTTTTGTTTATTTCAGCTTAATGACAAGTATCACGATTTCGTGATGGAATCGGAGAGGGAGCAGTTTATTGCTAGACTCCAAGAGGTAGAAGATTGGTTGTATGAAGATGGAGAGGATGAAACCAAAGGTGTTTATGTCGCTAAACTGGAGGAGCTAAAGAAGGTAAAATCCCAATCTTGGTGTTTGTCAAATGTTTGGGGTTAAGATTTAAATCCCATCATGTAATCGTTTTAATCGAGGGTATGAAAGATGTTGCTAGTTTAGAAAATGGTTTCTTAAATTCAAAATAAAATTTCGTGCAGCAAGGTGATCCTATTGAACATCGCTACAAGGAGCACACAGAGAGGGGATCTGTGACGGACCAGCTGGCTTACTGCATTAACAGTTACAGAGAAGCAGCAGTGTCGGCTGATACCAAGTTTGACCACATTGACTTAGCGGATAAGCAGAAGGTATTAGTCGTTATTCCTCCTCGTAAATGGCATGCACATTTGAGTAATTGATTTGCTATGGATGGAGTAATTTACTGTTTTCGAGTGTTTCAGGTTTTGAATGAATGTGTGGAAGCTGAAGCTTGGCTAAGAGAGAAAAAACAGCAACAGGATACACTCCCTAAGCACGCCACGCCGGTTCTCTTGTCTGCTGATGCAAGAAAAAAAGCTGAAGCCCTTGATAGGTATTACGAAATTGCCATTGTTAAAAAAATATTGATTAATACTTCTGCATTAGAAATGCATTCCCAAATTTTCAGAAATGACATGGAAAGTTAGTGTCCGTTCGTTGTGTCTGAAACATTTTCGAAAAGTGGAAAACCTTAGGAAGTTGCTGCTATATTATAGGTTGTTTACTTTCTTGATGTGATAATCTAAATTTGTTTTTTTCAATTTTTTGTAACAGGTTCTGCAGGCCAATAATGATGAAGCCAAAGCCGGCGGCAAAACCAGCCACACCCGAGCAGCCCTCACCGGCAACCTCCTCTCAAGGCGGTGAATCGCAATCACAAGGGGCAGACAACAGTAACCATAGCACCGGACAAAAAGCCGAAGAAAGTGACACTGCAGGTTCCGAGCCTATGGACACAGACAAATCTGGGAGTGCTCCACACACAGCATAAATCCGTGTGCGTCATTACCGAATTTTGGACCGTTGTGTATTTTATGAGGTTATATCTCATAATTTGTTATATTAATAGGTGGGGTCTCTCCATAATCCTGTTTTTGTTAAGGGTTTGTAAGAAATATAGACTCTCCGAGAGACTATTGATATTTGATGATCCACCGGTGATTATTATTATTTAAACCCTTGCCCACGAGAAATTCACCGACCATGTTTTTTTCTGGTTCTTTCTTTGTACGCGAATTTCGCCTTTTAAAAGCAAGTGTAATGTGGTCGTCGTTCTTGATATTTATTTGCGATCGCTCTCTTTTTGAGTAAAACATGTTTTTAAGGTACACGGCTTGTTCGGAGCGGGTTTTTAAGGTTTACGAGATGGAGTTTGTTTCATATGTGCTCGTCTTTTACGCTTCTTGTTTATACTTGTTGCATAGTTTCGTATTTATTATCTGTGTTAGAATGAAATGTTTTGAACATCGAAAATTGTTTTGAAAATACATTTTTGTTGTAATTTCCAGTTGGTGGTAGATGAAAATAGCTCTTGGACTATATTAGTTGACCTCTTCATTTTCTCTTTTCAATCCAAAAACAAGCATAAATTCAACATACAAATTGTCAAATCTTGTCTGAAAGAATTTCCAAAAAAGTTTTGGAGATATATTTGAAAAGCTTAACACTTTATTTTTAAAATGAGTGGAAACAATTTTATAATTGGGCGAAACAGCCAAAGACAACAGAGCTAGAAAACAAAACAAACATATAATGGAAATACTCAAATATTCTCATCAAGTCGTTGTAGTATAGTGGTAAGTATTCCCGCCTGTCACGCGGGTGACCCGGGTTCGATCCCCGGCAACGGCGTCTACTTTATTTTTTTAATTCCTTTTAAAACCTAGTATCCACCTGCTAACTCAATATAAAGTAGGATATCCACCCGCAAGGGTGGCCTAGCGGTTGGAGCAAGAGAGCTTGGGTCAATTGACCCAAGTTCGAATCCCCTTGCCAACGGTCGCTAGGTCGAGCTTGTCACACATGGTTAGCCTAGTGTGGTTTACATCTCTCGTATGGTTTGCAAGCTATTATACGAGAGTGTAGGTTTACCCAGTGCACCTATATGGTTGGCTGCGGGTTCCTGCATTACAAAAAAAAAAAAAAAAAAAGTAGGATATCCCTTTTAGCCATGCCGGTGTTGTCAATGATTCCTCCCAATAAATACAATCACTAAATATTTTCTGAGATAATTTAATTTTTAGTGTACAAAAATTGGGATATATAATAGAAAAAATAAAAATCACAGAACAAGCTGGATAGTAAAAAATTTCTTCAGTTGATGTAATATGTCAGCCTTCTGCAGTCTGCACATATGTTCATTACACCACAAATTCTTAGGCCTCGTTTGGTTGGGGAGATTAACCATTATTAACTAAATAATAGGACTTTATTTGATGTTTGGTATCTCAATAACTTGTCGGTCGACCCAAGTAAGGCCTTAATAGATTATCCGAAGCAACAAAAGATACAATACGGCCAACGTTTTCGCGGTAAAAAAAACGCTGACTCAAGAAGAACAACTACTCATCATAACTAATTTAAACATCCAATCAAACAAGTATTAATATTACTATCACCATCTTCTCATATCAAGAACCATCTAATGATACAAACAAACCTCAACCAGTCAATCAATCTCCAAAACACCACTACAAATTAAGATCCAATACAGCTACATACATATATAAATATATATATATAAACACATATATATATCTATATATCAACCACTAACATTCTCAGCCGAAACGGTATTCTCTTCATCATCGTCGTCACCCTGCCAAATCTTGGCAATCTCCGCTTGAGCCCTCTCGAGAATCTGCCTCTTCTGCATCTCCAAATCCCGATGAAAGTCCATTCTCATCTTCTCCAGCTCGACCATTTGCTTCCTCTTACTATCCTCGATCTTCTCGTATATCTTACTAAATTTCTGAAAAGAATCCGCAAGAATCTTGAACGAACCCCCGCCGCCACTATTCTTGACCCGCCCGTTTCTAGCCCTCTTCGGCGGGAGCCCCTCCGATTCATTCCCTCCGCCCTCCGCCGAACCGGAATTTCCGGGACTGTCCCTCATTTCATCGAACCCGTTCGAACGGTTTAGATACGCTCTAGGGTTTGTGAACACGTACTCGCCCGAGTCCACACCGCACGAAAGGGCCGTTTGGTTGGGCGGTGGTGGCGTGGATAGTAGCGAGTCGATTTTCTTGAAGTACACCCACTCGCTCGAGTTCGGTTTGGACTTTTCCTTTTTGTACTTTTTCTTTAACGTGTCCAGACGGTTCCTGCATTGGGTGTCGGTGCGTTCGAGCTTGGATTCTTGTGACACCTTTTCCGAGACTTCTTGCCACTCTTCGGAGCGGAGGCTTTTCCTTCCTTGTTTAAGGTACCTTTCTCCCCAAGAATCGAGTAGGGTGAAAGTCTCGTGCTCCGTCCAATCGGTGAGGGGGTTCCGGCCCCCGCCGTACGACGCCGGCGGCTTTGGGGCGGGAGGTGGTGGAGGAACGGGGGGTGCTCGAGGGGCGAACTCGTAACTCGGCAAGAGGGTTTTTAGCTTCCGCTTTTTCGGGTGTTTATGTAAATCGGTGGAATTGACACCTTCGTTTTCGTCTTCGTCCACGTCACCACACTCGTAATCGTCTTTGCCTATCCTTTGAATACCGTTTCCTTCATCATCGTCATCTTCATCGTCATCGTCTTGCTCAATGACAACTATACCCTTGTCATCATCATCGACATCGTCATCATCACTATCGTCATCATCATCATAATCGGGGTTTTCGATCGGAAACTTTTGGCTGTTTACGGAGTAAGTGTTGGCATGGTAACTAGCATCATCTTCGTCATCATTCATCATGCTCAAATACGAACAAATAAACCGATATTAAATCTACTTTTTAGATTTTCTTTTTAAAATTAATTCCACACAACATTAACTCCTTTGTTCCATCCAAGTAAAGAACACAAGATTGCTTCCCAAAAAACCTAACAAAAAAAAGAAACACATAAAAATCAAATCTTTATTCCTAAAACAGCACAAAAATGAAAATTAATGTTGGGAAATGGAAATTTCTTAATTGAAGACCAATTGTATTAATTTCCCCCAAATTCAAACTCCCCAATATTTCTATAGAAAAATAAAAATTATTAATTTAATAATTATATTCATAATTAAACAGAAGATCGTAAACAAGAAGAGCCCATAATCCTACTTAAAAATCAAATAATTACTGAAACCCACAAAATTAAATCGCAACAAATTGAAGAACCCATTACAAATCTTACCTCAAACAACTCAATTGAAGAGCTGAAGATCAACCTTCACCGGTTCACCCCCAAAAAAATCAAACTTTAAATTCCGATATGGTGAATTGAAAATAGCGTCAAATTAAAAAAAATCAAAAAAAAAAAATCGACGTGAGATCTTATGAATTTGTTAGGGAATTAATTGAGATAAATTTCAAGAGCTCGTTGTGTTGGGAAGGAGAGAGACTGGGAAAAAGCGCATCTTTCTTTCTTTCTTTCTGGGGTAGAAAAAAATCAAAAATAAAAACAGAGGGCGTAAAAATTTGTGAAGGGGTAGTTGCTAAAATGCGCTGCTGACTGTACTTTATGGCATCTCACCCAACTTGGGCCTACAACACATGACCACTAATTCAGGATACTTTGCGTTACGGCCCAGTTATGTTTAACCCGATAAATCGCCAATATTTGTTACTTTACAATTCCGATAAATTATTAATTGTCTTTTTTTTTTTAATTTTGCTTCTTATCATTCTTAATTAATTGAAAAATAATTAGTCAAAAATCAATTGATGATTATTTATATATATATATATATATAAATCTCTCTCTTTTTTTTTTTATTAATATTCAAAACTATCCATGCTATGATTATTTATATATATATATATAAATCTCTCTCTCTTTTTTTTTTTTTATTAATATTCAAAACTATCCATGCTACCCTTTAGATAAACAAGAGGCCTCGGCTGATAGAAAGTTTTGTCGGTCTTAAGCCTGAGAAGAACCGATGCTAGCCAGTCATTAATTCGATTTAGCTGTCTTTGACTAACTAAACCAATTCCCTATAGCAAAGATCCGTCTTTTACTTCCACTCTCGATTTTCTGCCCTAGCTTACGTTTCATCACGGGCCCGCAATCGGGATGCCATGGTGGTAGATACGGACCAACTTAAGCTTCAAAAGACTCCAAATCAATACATGAGAAGACCTTATCTTTGGATCGAGTTAGCAAATGAGGCTTTCACCTCATTAACAAACTCAACCACAAGACTTTTAATAAAAAAAGGGAGTTTTCTTGACCAAGTCGTTTTTCAATTTCTATGGAGCTGTAAAGGAAGAACAGGCTCAGGTAGAGACGAAACAGGAGCATTCGCTCGGTCATCACCAACATGAATTAGATATCAGTGATGACGAGGAATAGACGTCGGTGGAATAATAGGCGAGCCCTACTAGTACAATAGTATATCAAATTCTAGAACCACTCGACTATTAAGAGAAAACCCTCGTTTAACCTTGTCTTACACGTTGGCTCCATGGTCATAAGTGCTTGCCTTTTTTAACTTCTTCCTAAAATTTATGATCCCACTTCATTCGTTCCGAGCTCGCGAACAAAGTTTTGGCATACAAACACATTATATTTGAATAAAACTTACATATATATGAGATTCTGATTCTCGAACCAAATTTTAATTTTGAAAAAAATCAAAACTTTGCTGAATTCGATTCTAAAATTTTCAATTTTGCAACATGTTTTCTAATTTCAATTTCGAATTTTTCGAATATTACTAAAATTAATTTCTTATTTCTAAAGAAAATAAAAAAGAAAGTAACAAGTGCTAATTTCGATCCGATGAGTCCGATTTGAGTTTACGTGAAGCAAGATTGTGGATAGATTGGAAAGACCCCACCTTGAATGGGACCAGACTCTGCAAATGGCTCTTATTTATTTATTCAATAGAAAATATTGTAAAACAGAAAATGATATTTTTTTTAAAATTAACTGAAGCCATATTTTTTGCCATAGTTTAAATTCTCTATCCCCAATAGATTGGGAAATTAAGAAAAGGATAGAAAATCTAGAGAGAGAGAGAGGAGAGAGAAAATCCTAATGAGGGCAAGCCGCTCTGCTTATCATCATCATCACTCAACAAAAATCAAGAAAAGGTGAAATTAATCAATCGACCAAAACCAACAAATGGGTTCTTCCGTTACGCCGCTCCATTACTCCGTCTTCTCCAAACCCTCGTCGCCGTGTGTTCTTCAGCCGCCATTTTTGTTTTCTTCCCCGAGAAATAATAATAATAATAATGGGCTCACCCGGAGAAAGAACAGAGGTTCCGCCATTTCTTGTTTGAAGCAAGAACAAAACCCACAGGGCGACGAATTCTGCGACAGAAGGCAGGTGATGATTTACATGGGTACTTTCGTCGCTATTCCGCTTCTCAATATGAGGAGGGCCGACGCCGTTGCAGGTCAATCATTTTCTTGATTTTTTTTTTTTTTTGGTGTTTTGTACTTTGTTGTAGAACTACATTGTGAGATAATGGCATCAAAATGTGTGTCGATTAGTTAGTTGCTTTCGAACTTTCAAGTAATGTGTAATTAATTGCTTTCAATATCGAGTGCCCGATTTTTCCGAGGAGTCGGAAGAAGAAAAAAAGCTTTCGTTTGGGGTTTTTTTTTTTAAATGCCGAAAGTTGGACTAATGTAATTAGATACATAGCTGTTGAATTGTGCAATGTACGAGTAGTGCGTGAAATCTGTTCGTTTTTTTCGGATGTATAATCTTACCTCCAATCTAAGTTTTATAGCTACCATATAAGTATATATGTAACGATTACAAAATTCGGCTCGTTAAAATTTTTCTTGTACTTATGCGGATGTTCTATCAATATTGCTACATTTGCTTAAATATTTCGTAAAACATATGCTATATATATACTGTGTTGTAATGTGTTATGATAATAACTATATGCCTCTTTTATGGTTTTGTTACAGAAAATACCGAATTAAGTACACCGAATCCGAAACAAGAAGCAGAGGTTCGTATATATACCGAATTATTTTATTCAAAAAAGGGTTATTTTTAAGTTACTGGTTTTGCAATTCTTTGATTATTGTGTTTATTTACGTTTGTCTTGTTTCGTATTTGCTGAATTGCACATGTTCTTGTGCCGTTTTTCAGGGGAAGTCGTCTCAAAATCCGTTTCTTTCACTTCTGAATTCAATCGGGTTTTTGGGATCGGGCGTTCTTGCTGCTCTTTACGCAACGATCAAGAATGAAAAGGCCACTTCAGATGCCACTATAGAATCTGTAAGGCATCTCAATGGAGTTTAAAATATTATGTTTTCGCCTTTTCGGGCATTTTTTTTTTAATTAAGGGGGTTCGTTTAAGTTTTGAAATAAATACGGGAACAAGAATATTTGAGCTGAATTCGTTTCATTTCGTTTTACCTTAATTAACGGCGAAGAAAGAAAATTAATTGCATGATAGTTGTTGTTGTTGCCTTTCTTGATATTCTTGAATTATTGTCGTCTTGTGTGCACAGATTAATCTTAAACTGAAGGAAAAAGAAGCTGCCATCACTTTCCTCGAGAAAAAATTCGAGACGGATTTATCAAACGAGAAAGAAGCCCGAAACAAGGCACTTGCTAAAGCAAACGAGGAGAAGCAATCTTTATCTAATCAATTGGGGCTCGCAAACGGTACAGTAAAAAGCCTCGGACAGGAGTTGCAGAAAGAGAAGAGATTAATCGAAGAAAAAACGGCCCGAATCGAGATTCTTGAAAACAGCCTCAACAAAGCTTCGAACGAGAAAAGGGAACTCCAAGAACAGTTGAAGGAGAAGCTCGATTCTATAGAAGTCTTGCGAGAAAGGATAAATCTGCTCTCGTTAGAGATCAAGGACAAAGAAGACAGTCTTCGGAACGTAAATTCTAAATTCGTCGAAAAAGAAAGCGAGTTGACTCAGTTAAGCTCCGTTTATCAGCAAGCACGGGATGAAATAAGCCGTTTGAATTTGGAGATTGAACAACTGAAAGATGTAATCTTTAAAAAGGAAAAGGAGATGGAATTGAATAATACGGAATTAAATAAACTGAACGCAGATTTAGCTTCTTCGCGAGCCGAGATTGATCAATATCGGAAAAAGATTGAATCTTTAGTAGAGGAATACGATGGGTATAAGGTGTCGGCGGAAAAGAAGGCGGATTTAGATGCCGAGATTTTACGAGAGAGAGAAAATGCAATTCAAGAGATTGAGGAACGACTTAGAGTTGCTTTGGATGATGTGAATAAAAATGAAGTCTTGATTTCTGATTTGAATGTCGAAAAGGAGGATTTATTGGAGATTGTGAAGATTGAGTCGAAAAATGCGAAGAATCTTGAAAAAGAACTCGAGGTTGCACGTGAATCTTTGAACGAATCGAGACAAGAAGTTGCTGACCTGGCAAAACAATTGCAAGATTCGAGAAAATTGTGCTCGGATCTCGAAGAAAATATTTCGAATATTCGGGGCGAGTTAAGCACAACTAAAGATTCACTAGAAAGGGATATTGACGAAACGAAAAAAGTTGTGGAGCTCTTAGCTGGCGAATTAAAGTCCACGAAGGAACTCCTAATTGAATCGACCGAAGCGGCAAAAGTCAAATCCCAAGAATTGGCTGCATTAGTGGCGAAATGTGATGGCTTAGAGAAAGAACTTGTGTGGGCTCGTGAGAAAGAAGATCGTACGGTTCTTGAACTGAACGAAGAAAGGGAAATCGTGTCTTCTTTGAAGAAAGACTTACGGGTTTTGGAGACTCGAATTTTTGAAGCAAGTGAGGCACGAAAAAGACTCGAAGAAGATTTAGAAGCTTCCACTAAATCACACGACGAGATTAATCGAAATATATTAAATCTTTCGAAGGATTTGGAGGTTGCCAATTCTCGGGTTTTCAGCCTCGAGGATGAGAGAGATGCGATTTTGAGGTCACTCGAGGAGCAAAAAGAGGTGTCGAAAGAAGTTAGGGAAAATTTGGAAGATGCGCATAGTTTAGTTATGAGGCTCGGAAATGAAAGGGAGAATTTGGAGAACCGAGGGAAAAAACTCGAGGAGGAATTGGCTTCTGCGAAGGGTGAAATACTTAGGCTGAGGAGTGAAATGAACTCGTTGAAAAGTGAGGGGAGCGAAAGGAACTCGCAGAAAAGTGAGGGGAGTGAAGAGCAAATGCAGAAAATTGAAGGGGGAAATGGCAAATCGGATGCTCCTAAAAAGAGGGTCACAAGAAGGAGAAAAGTTACTCCGGTGCAAGAAGATTCGTAGTGATCGAAAAAAAAAACGTAAAAAAAAATAATCTCGATTTTCATTATTTGTGAATTGTTTGGAATTCAACTGGGAAAAAATTTCATGGTAACAAATGCATTCTTGTAATATTGAATAATTAGCTATATGAGGAAAGTTTGAGGGGTTTATTTGTATTGTCAATCTTTGTGTGTGTGTGTGTGTGTGTGTGTGTGCTTGTGATTTATTTTATTTTATTTTATTTTTTAATTTTTATTTTTTACTTTTAAATCAAGAATATCATTGCAGTTGTATATAGGAAGTAAATTGTTAATTTTCTAATTTTGTTAGTAATGTCTTGGGGCGAAACTTTAATAGAAATTTCGAATTCCGCCGATTTGATTGAACTTTTTTTGGTTTTGGAACTTCATTCTGAATTACGAAATATCCTATTTTATGATATTTCCGATCTTTTTTGGAACAAAATTTGAATATATATTAGATTTCGATTTTCGATTTGATTTTAATTTTAAAAAACTATTGACTTTTTTTTTTTCCTTTCCAAAATTACATTTATTATAGCAATACTATTATGCATATTGCATATTGTATTATAGGTGACCGAAAATTGTATTATAAGTTTTTGACAAGTCACTCCAAAATATCTCTTACTTAAAAGATTATATATATATATGATTGCAACTTTGTACTAATTAAGACACTACTACATATATATATATATATATATATATATATATATATATATATATATATATATATATATATATATATATATATCAAGAACTTCTAGCAAAAACAAAAGCAATTACAAAAAAAAAAAAAAAAAAGCAAAGTCTGCCTTTCAACCTAACTAAAATGGTCCCCAAAAAAAACTAAGTCTTTAAAAAAAAAAAAAAACTAAACCTTCCATGAAGATGAAATATCAGCTACCGCTTCTCCAACTGTCAAATATAGTCCTTCTAATCCGAACGGCTCTAATACTTTCGATTTATGCAGTTTCTCCATCACATTTCCGACCGGATTTGCCAAAACAAACTACATTGTAATAATAATCGCTTATTAAAAAAAACGAGAAAAAAAAAACACAAAAAACAATGTGTAGGGTTTTGTGATGGCTTTTACCTTAAGTGATCGGTTTTCGAGCACCTTCCGGAGTTCGCTTATTGTATCGATACCGCTCGTGTCTATTGCCGTCACAGCTGATTTAAAAAAAAAAATACGTGGGACCGGATTAATATAAGTCGAAACATAAATCGAGCAGCAAAAATAATTATGATTTTTTTTTATTTTTAAATTTTTTTGTTACTAACCAGTCATATCAAGAATCACACATTTCAAATTGCTCTGGTTATTTAATGCCAACCACTCTTCTTCTTCCCTAACCCATCTCATAATCCTGCATTAATTAAGTATATAGATTAATTTAATTTAATTAATATAAAACAATAACATATTATTGCTACATTTTTTGATTAAATAAATAAATAAAAAAGAAACTCGTTTCTCAACCGACCTTTCTTGCAGATAAGTCGAATTCGCAAAGTAAATAGGAGCTTCAACCGCTAGTATAAGAAATGACGGAACCCTAACAGCGTCTTTGTATATATTAAGGTTTCGATAAATTTGAGTTCCTCGAATATTCCCCAAAGCAGCTGTATTCGGCCTCGTCACGTTCAATAGAATCTTGAAAATCGAAATTCCAACCTTCAAAAAAAAAAAAAAAAAACCCGATTTTCAAGTTGATTTAATAGCACATTTTTCACGAAAGCTACACGATTTCTTTTTTTTTTTTTTTTTTTTGTAAGAGAAAAGACGTACTGCTATAGCAAGACCGATAGGGACCGAGATAAACAGAACACCGAAAAACGAGCACAAGCAAGCAACAAAGTCGAGTTTATCGACTTTCCACAGTTTATACGCTGACTGATAATCGATTAGGCCTATAACCGCGGTTATAATAATGGCTGCGAGGATTAAATTTGGAGTGTAATGAAATAACGGCATGAGGAATAACAGAGTAATAAGCACAGCTGCAGCCATTACTATATTCGACACCACCGTTTTCGCCCCCGCGTTGTAATTCACAGCCGATCGTGAAAATGACCCTAAAAAAAACAATATATTAATCCGTGACGAAATAATTAAAAAATAATAAAAAATAATAAAAAATAATAAAAAATAATAAAAAATAATAAAAAATAATAATAATAGTAATTATTCGTTTACCTGTGGTGACGTAACTTGACGAGCAAGAACCGGCTATGTTCATTAAGCCAATGGCCACCATTTCTTTATTACCATCAACTTGGTAATTTTTCATAGCTGCAAATGTTCTTCCAACAGCAATTCCTTCCTACATATAACGAAAAAACCGACTCCGATTTATTTATTAATTTTTTTTAATGAATAAAAATATTTTAAAGAACTTACTGTGAGAGAAAGAATTCCGGTGAGAATGCCGGTTTTGATAGCTAGAGCGAGATGAGGGCCGCTGAAAAATAGCATGTTCGAAGATGGTGGATTTAAACCCTTCGGCAAATAACCAATCTGTATTTAAAAAATTAATATAAAAAATAAATCTTTTTGTAGTAGGAAATAAATAATAAATGAATAATCATGTTTTTCTTACAGTCTGAATGCCTTGGTATTTGGATTTAATGCAGATTACTAGGATAGTTGAAAGAACAACCGATGCCAACGGGGCGGCTGCTGATATCCAAAACAGTTTCGGTTTTTTCATGCTCTGCATTTTTTCATCGTCGTCGAAATTATTTATAACATAATAAAATTATTTATGTATAAAAATAAACAGTATCGAACATATTATCAACACTTACGATTTGCCTTGTTGTCAGTAGCAAGACAAGAAAACCAACTCCCATGACAATTGTCTGCCACGACCACTGCATACGTGGAAATAACCGATCCCGGTTATAAATTATTTAATTATTATTTTTTTCCGATTAATTTCAAATGATTATTTTTGGTAAATAATTTACCTCGTCCGTGTGATGGAAGACGGAGGATAAAACGGGGATTAATTGCATTTTCGCCGTGAAATGGACTATTCCAAGTAGCCCTTTTAGCTGTTGCAATGAAACGATTACTGCCGCACCAGCCATGAATCCGACTAGAGTCGCTTTCGATAGAAAATCGATAATAAATCCTAATCTGAAAATCACACAATTCAAAAAAAAAAAAAAGAATCTTTTTAAAAATTCGGTTAAATGTATTCGAGTTATTTTCGCACCTGTAATTATTACTACAAGAATCGGTTACGCACATTGCATTTTTCTAAAGTTCGATAAACATATGTATATATCTCACAATTAAAAGGGAAATAAATAATTATTGTTATGGAATATATTATTAATTATTTAATACCTTAAAAAACCGAGAGAAGCTTGGAATATTCCGGCAAAGAAAGTAGCTGTAAACGCCAGTTTAAGGTAAAGATCCGGTTCTTTAGTGTAGGAAACGGCTTCGCTGAGCATTGTGCCCATTACGAGTGAAGCTATTGAGACGGGACCCACCGCCAAGTGTCTCGAACTCCCGAGCACCGAATATATCAATGGCGGTACAAAACTCGAGTCTGCATATATGTGATTTAATTTTATCATCAAGCATTTTTAAAATGAGGGGAAATAAAAAATCAAGAATTGTGATTTGTTTTGATGATCTTGAAACTTACAAAGCCCGATTATCGGCGGTAAATTCGCCAGCTTCGCGTAACTAATCCCCTGTTCGATCCAGAAACGAAAACGTTACTGAAGATTTCACATTTCTTGATTTAATTAAAGATTGCATTTTTTTTTCAAAATCAACAAAAAAAAAACACATTTTTGTATGTGTGTGTGTGTGCAAGTGATGTAGCAAGAATCCAATTTTTAATTTACTGAACCAAACACAACCTTAACAAAATCAAAAATTAAAAAAAAAAATTAAAAAATAGGAAAATACACAAAAAGATTATAAGTTCTTGATTTATTTATAATTTTATATATACCTGTGGAATTGCGAGGCTTGCAATTGTAACCCCAGAAACAACATCAGATTTCAACAATTCAAAACTATAATCCGGGCCCCACTGAAAAATCGGGAAGAAAAACTGCAGCCCGATTACCAACTTTCTGAACCGGGTCTGATCCTTGAACCCATGAAGCGGGTCGTCGGGGAAGAAGATGTCCGCCAGCCGGCGCCGGAGTTTCTCCACGGTGGTTCTCGGCGGCGGAAGGCACACTCTGTGCACTTCCACCGCGGCGGCGGCGGCCGCCCCACCACATGCAGATCCTCCTCCTCCCGCCGCTGGACCTGGAATATTTATAACCATTAATTTTTTTTTTTGGTATTTTCTTCACACAGTGAGTGAAATGTGTGTGAATTTATTTATTTGCAGGCAATCCGTATTTATCGGAGAGGAGATAATTATCAGAGGGTTTTCCGTTACGAGTCAGTGTTGAGGAGTTGGATTTGGGTTGAATTCTTTTTGACAATCGTAGGTTTTTATAGCAGACATCTTTCAGTTGGTGACTTGTTTTTCGGTGCTAATTACTAATTAATTTTATTCATTTATTAAATATGGATTAGATTATAAATATTATTTATTTATTCTTAACATATTTTGATTACTTCTTTTTAACCAAATTATAATTGATATGCAATCAGATACATAGTGAGATTAATGTGGATCTCGCGGATTAACTATTATGACGTCACTTATTTTATTTTCTGACGTCATTATTTGCATGTTGTTGATTTTGTTTAAATGGCTGAGATATTAATTACTATTATATATGAAGAAAAAAAAAACATTGGATAATATTTTATTATAAATCTACACATAATTACATACATATATAATCAATCCAGATTGGTCAAAGGTTTTAATTTTATGTTGTGTGACTTTTACAAAATTGTGATGATTTTGTGTGAACAATTTTGAAAAAAAAATCAATCCACATTAAATTTAACAAGTGGTGATTTCAATAAAATTAATGATGGGAAATACATTTAAAGACTGTGTGTCGGACACTTACCGAACAATTTATGAACCATTTTATAATTTTTTAAAAGTTAGAAAGATGTTTGAATAGCATTTTTTTCAATTTTTTTTTTTTTTGTTATTTCCCAAATTATTTATGTGATTTAATTATCAATTGCAAATTGCTATAATTGATAGTAAAAATTTATTCTGAATATGTTTGTATGACAAAATAGAAAAATAATTTATATATTTATAAATAAATGCTTATATATGTATAAATATACCTATAATTTTAATACACATTTTCTCCAAACTCCAGTGTCCCATTTTTTAGATATGATATTCCCCCGTATCCATTCTCCGTTTTCTTTGAATCGCCGTTTCCGTGTGCGTGCTAAATAGTTAAAACTTAAAACCTGATTTGGGGAATCAAATCAAAATTAGTTAGCTTTTCTTAAGAAAGGCACAGTAAATTCATTTTTTTCTGCGAGATTTGCAAATAATAACGTGCAGTTAAATGAATTTCAAAATTATAGATAATCATTTGAAGTTCATTTAATTTAATTAAAATCAATTCATAGAATATGAAATCCTTCTCCCAAGTAATCTCATCTAATTCAAACATAACTTTATTCCTGTTCGGTTAATATCATTATAATACAGTGAGTTTCAGATAACTATTGAGTTTTTATTTTTACAAATTTATCAAGTTGAAAACACTCAAAAAATTCTATCCAAATATAATGAGACCAATTAAATTCTATTAATTTAGAGAAATATTAATTTCACCATATACTATTTAACATGTCGCCCGATAATTTCTTTTAATTCAAAACGAGGTTATTAATTTATCGGGTATGTTTTTTACTGCATAAAAGAAAATGTGACAATAATTTTAATTGTGAGTTTCGATATAGGTAGCACTTATCAGGTATGTGAATGACAAAATGGATGAAAAATAAATATTTTTCATGAAAAAAGAAAATAATTAATATTTTGATGGAATGATAAAAGTTAAAATAAAATAAACTTCTGGGCTATTTTAATTTTTAATAAAATATATTATATAACTTTTTTACTTTTAATTTCTTGATATTTAATATTATAAACCCTAATTTTTTGGTTGAAATGGAATGTACCAATTATATGCCACAGCATAAAGTCAGTGATATATTCTTGGTTCATAAAGGGAAGACAGCATTCAGAACTGATGCATCAAAATAAGTTCAGTACCTGGAACTCATTTTTAGGTTTAATTATATGCATTTGAATTAATTAATTAATGCATGATTAATATACTAATCCATCAATTAATTATTAATCACTTCATATTAATTTTTCTCATTTATTCCCCTTGATCACAAGCCACTACGCAGAAAAATATCGTCTCGTGTTCTATATATCTACGTTGTAATCAGCTAACCAAAAAAAATTAAATTTTTTTGGACAACGATACATACATATACATGTATGTATATATACGCGGCGAGTGGTGGATGCTTTTACGAATGAGAACTAATTAAAAGATACGTAACATCAAGTTGGGAAAACAGTCTCAGAATCTCCGAAAATCGAAAGTATATTGAGTGCCCACAATTGATGGTCCAAACTTAACTAGAAATTCGGCGTAGAAAAAAAAAATACTTTTTGGTTTTTGTTGAAGAACACGGAAAGTCGAAAATGTTGTCGTGCGATTATTCGTTCTTGTTTTACGGCAACTATAGTTAGCCTGTCCACTCTCTGAGGTCCAAATTTTGACAGCTATTTTGATCCTGGTTAAAATGTATTTTATTGCAGCAGAAAAAAAAAACTAGTTCTATATATATATGTATATAATATATAATATATAATAAATGTACTATATATGTGTTGCATGTAAATTGTAAAATTGCATTCTCTTATATTTTATTAATGTTTTCCTCACTAAAACTCCTCAAAATTATGTTCGACTTATAATTATCGTTTCTTTATATTCGTTTGCATATTTATCGAGCTTTAATTTATCATCGAACAAAAATATATATTAATCGTTAAAATCGAGCTTCAAGTAGTTTAATTCGATTTTCAGTCAATTAATTTTCATTAATATCAAATATATAGTCCTCCCCACAATCAAAAGCTGATGGCATGCATGTGAAAAAGCAAATACATGCAAAAGTGGTATATAAGCTATAAGCTGCTAAAAAGTTGATGCTTATATGTATATGCAAATACATATATACCTTCTGGCTGTTTCATTTTTTATTTATTTTTTATTTTATAAAATAAAAAAGAAATGGTAGTGGAACAAGTTTATTCCAGGAATATACCACTCCTTATTCATTGGCAATCCTGAGATTTGCCCACATTGCTTGTGGGAGTGCTAATTACTAATCATTGCAACAAATTAGTGACTAGTTATTATGGTTATCTTGTAATTAACATTGAGGCTTACAAAGTTAATTAGGCCAAAGTCAACTTTAGAGATAGCTAATAAACCATTGAATTGAAACACTAGCTATATATTACCCTTTTTTCTATTAAAAAAGAAATCTGCATTGTATATTTGCACTAAATAAATTTCGTTATCGTGCAATAATATGCAAATTACTCGAGAAGTGTAAATTTCAATGTAAAAGTCTTGTGCGACAAGCTTCACCTGGAATCAGAAGCTAACCCCACTCTTTGGCAAGCGGTGAACTCAAACTAGTCACCCAATTTTTATTAGTTAATTAGCCCACAAAAATCCAAATTAATGCGATTTTGTCATTTTTGTATTTTCTGGTTTTGTCCTACTTTATACAAAAGAAATATATTTTCTTATTTTGGGCGTGCTTCCCTCGAACCCCCATTATTTAAGCCCAACAAATTCTTGAACTCGGTACCGTCTAGGACATCACATTCACTCCACCAAGTAGACCTCTTATGTAGGCAAATTTTCTTTAATTTTCTTGTAATGATTATTTATGAATCCCATCCATTGAAAGAAAGTGATAATTATATATAGAGTGCTAATTAATGGAGATCATGTGCAAGAAAAATTGATGGTCAGCCTAATGTTGGCCCTAATACACATCTAGAAATTATGAAACGTATGAAATATAAATTAAAGATTACGTTTGTGTGTAGGGAAGAAAAATAGCCATCTTTTTTTAGGCAATAAAGGTGTAAGTGGGGTTGGACGGTTGGTAAATGTGGACAACTTATATTTATGTTTGTTTCTTTAATTTCAATTTCTATTTTGTGTTTGAATCATTCACATTGTATTTGTTGTGAATTAAATAATGATTCAATCTCAAACTAAGAACAAAAAACTGCACATAAAATTGAATAAAACACAATAATAGTGGTTCGATCCTGAACAAATTTGCATTCACTCGAAGCAGTCACAACTTCAATTCACTATCACAATCTCAGAGGTTACAATTTACGATACAAATGGTTGTATAATGAGGATCTTACAAAGAATCAATCTCTCACAAACTCTAATTTGCCTCGCACTCAAAGAACCTCTCAATAGCTCTATAAAATCTCATAGATTTTCTCTCGAATTCTTAAGGCTAGCGTGTGCGTGTATGTATTGTATATGTGATAGTCGGCCGATTCAGAGAGCATCTTTGGAGCTTTATGTACACGAGCTCTGCCTCCCATGCACATGAGGTGGTTTAGTCAGCTCGGAAAACCTCAAGAAATCCACGTGGTCCCCTCAGTTGGTTGTGATCGCATGTCATGAGCTAACCACCTTCTCCTCATGCAGTGCAATTCCTCCAATGCCCCATACAATTATATCTTCTCTTCCTTTGGTTGTATGAGAATGAATCTGAACCATTCATTTCAGTACTGTTGTATGTTGCAGTATTTCGTACCAATTATAAGTTAGTACTAACAATTTATAGCCACTCATAATGCTTTGGATCAGATAAATATCATAAACTCTGTTCTCGTGCATTTAAACCGCACGAGAGATAAATTACAATAAACTAACCATATGTTATGAAATATGCCTACAAATGTTTAAATTTGAGCCAGATGACATTACACTCTCTTACTAATTAGATGTGATTGGTTCAAGGAAAAATGCTTAGATAAAGTACCATATATGAATATTTAACAAATTTACCGTTTTACAACGAAATAATTTTATTTTCCTTGACCTTTTTTACTTTTTTCAATTCAAAATTATTTATGTCACAACCTATGAGTATGTAGAAAGCATGGGTCACACCTACCTAGTGAGATAGTATATTTTATACATATATACAACAAATATTTATGTTACACGAAAATATAATCATTATAAATTCATTTATACAAAAACAAAAAGAAAAAAAGAAAAAAAAAGATGGCTATGAAATTATTAATAGGCCGTATAGTAACTTGAAAATATGGGCCTTATTTGTATCCCAAGTCCAAATTCTAGGACTGGGCCTGTAACTTCTGTACAAGTGTCAGGAAACCCGAAACAAAAAGAATATTGGATTTTTCGATTTTTCTGATTTTTTGGATCGGAATTGAAATTTATATTGGATTTCAATTTCCAACCCCGATTTACTTTTTGAAGATTCTATTTTTTTTTCTTCAATTGAAATCTATATTTATAATACTAGCAAATATCAATACCAATATGTAATGAACATGGAAAAAATGTTATTTCATAAATTTTCCGAGCTCGATGAAAATAAATTTTCGATTTTGATGGTTTTTTTTTTTTTTTTTTTTTTTTTTCTTCCAATT